GGGGGGCACTTGCTTTTCTTTGCAATCGTTTTAAAGAGAGACTGGTCAGTTATCTCTGGTATAGTTTTTGATAGCCAATACCAGCCAATACCTTAKCTATGGAAAGAAACTTGTGCCATTAGAAATTGAATTTGAATCACTCAGACTGAATCTGTATTTGTATAATTTGAAATTGAATGCTTTGATTTGAAAATGATTTTCACTAAATTGAAACATTCATATCAGCCATGAATCAGAGAACAGAACAAAAGTTATTGTCTAGGCTAATGGCTAGCCAAATACTGTATAAGCTCAATTGAAATCATTCATGCTTATAAAACAACTCATTATGATAATTTATTTTTATTAACTTTTATTTTGATATCCCGATAAACCACATACCAGTAAGAAAGAATGCTACATAAATGCTAGACGCACTTTTACATGACAAGGTTTGTTGCTGATTTTTAACCAAACTCTGTGTTACTATCCAGTTTAGCACATCTAATCAGTCCAAAAAATACAAAACAGAAAAAATCCACTCCCAGCAGACATTTGACAGCCTCAGCACCATTGACATATAATAGCCTAGGCTCAGCATGCATACGTTCACATAGTAACATGGACTTTGTTCGGTTCAGAAAACTCACAAACTAAACAAGCCGTGTCATTTTAGAGGTTAGATGAAGGCTTGACCTTTTCTCCACATGATACTATATGCTGTGCAGTCAACCTCATTCTAGTTGTAGGACACAAAAGCATGAAACTCCACACCCATCAGATCCTCTGGTCAAACGTCTCCCATCCTCGCCTGGTGTTTGGTTCTGGTCCACTGCCACATCATGCTCATGTACCGGGCCACAAGTTTCATATATTTCTAAATAAACTTTCAAGTTGGCACTAAAAATGGATAAGAGGTTGAATTTAATTACAGAGGAGAAAAAACAGTTAAAAGTAATAAACTATGTAAATGTCCAGCACTGAAAAGACATGTCTCGTTAAAAGACAAACTCTGTGGAAGAATCTTCTGACTTTTTGCAAATCTGTTTCACTAAGATACAAAGTTGGGAGGAAATAGGCCAAAAAATGTCTTAACAGTTAGGTTTTATTTGTTTATATCCTCTTTTCACTTCCTTTTTTATTCACAGACCTCATTTTTAAAATAAACACTTCTTGTTCACAGGGACTAAAAAACTATTGTTATTGGCAGGACAAATATTCTTTGTGTGTCTTTATGTGTGCTGTGAGATTGAAAGTTTTGTTCCGTTCAAACAAATGTGTTGGACTGTGGTCTGTGTCAACTAAACCTCAGAATCTTCTCTTCCTTAGCATTCAAACAGCCCTGTTTAACAGTATCTCAGTTTGTTTACACTGTTGTAAACCAAATTTACCAATTTCACTTCACTTTATTTTTGTAGAACCAAATCACAAGTCATGTCAGTGTATTATACAACAAATCCAATCCAATCATATATCCAAATCCAGATCAAAATAAATACAGATTCAAATCTAGACAATTCAATTTAACTAAATACAAAACAATATTTAGTGCATTACAACACTGATCAGTAAAAACGTTGGCTAAGAAAAACAGCAGATTGTGTCAAATCTTCACTTTCACATAATAGAACAATGTTGAGGTGTTAGCTCACAGTAATGTACTTAATCCCACCAATTTGTGCTGTTTGGGAGTTAATTACAATAGAGCATTTTAAATACTCTGGCAACGGTTTATTATAGACGCTTCAACTAAATGTCATTTCCTGTTATTCTTGAATGCTTTTTAAGTTGGCYAAATCGTCATTGTAAATGAGAATGCTCTCAACTGACTGAATAAAGGTAAATTAAATCAAATAMATTTGAATAATTAGAATTAGACACTAACTCAAAGAAACAAAGTAGAGAAGTAAGCAAGGGAATGCACACATTTTCATTTGTCTCCAAGTAATTTTAGTTTCTGGTTCCTTTTTACAAAATGTTCTCAATTTCAATTTCAGTCCCTGTCATTTAGAAGTCTGAGTTACTCCGATACTTCTGTGACTGGTGCGTTTGGTAGGTCGGCCTGTAGGGCAGCTCTGAGGTTAGCCCAGAAAAGCCTGTGTTTGGCTCTGTCCTGAGGCCATTCCAGGTAAGTGTGACGGTTCATCATGGCCTTGAGCTGGTAGTACTTGGATGGGATCAGGTACTGGGGCAAAGGCTCGAGCAGCACCAGCACAAGGCTGTCCGAGCCCACAGACATACGTTGGTGGCTGGCAAAATACAGCTCGTAATGGCACCACTCGCTTTTGACGAAATGAGCAGAAAGCACAAAAACGGAGCGGCGGCTTTTCTCCACACAGCTGATGATGTTCTCGATAATCGATTTTCCTGGCACAAAGTTTTTCTCGTGGTGGCAGATTCTGAGCCCTCCCGCAGGACCTTCAAGATTGGGAATGAGATAGTTCTTCACCCAGTCTACATCATGCTGGCTGTAGGACACAAAAGCGTGAAACTCCACACTCGTCAGCTCTTCTGGTCTGAGTTGATGCATCCTCGCCCGATGTTTGGCTCTGGTCCACTGCCACATCATGCTGATGTACCAAGGAACGTCAAGATGTTGGCACAGAAAGAACACTGTGATGATCAGCACCACTGCAGGGACCAAGATGGTGGCTGCCAGGACGCGTGGGTCGCACGAGATCTCAGAAATCCAGAAGCTGTTTAACAGGGAGTCCCTGACGTTCTCTGGGTAGATGCAGTAGTAGCCGTGTGGCCAGTTCAAAAGTTTAACACCTGTGTGACCTTTGTTGTTCTCAGCATTAATGCCAAACCTAATTAAGTCCCTCAGAGGGCAGGTGCAGGTAAACGGGTTGTGACTAGCATCCAAGATTTTTAGTCTGGGGCAGCTTTTAAACTTGGTCATCGAGGGAGCATGGAGGGAGTTAGACTTAAGCAGGATCTCTGTCAGCATTGGAAAGTTATCGCATGTTGGTAGATCTCGTAGTCTGTTAGCGTTTAGATTCAGGGAAACAAGGTTTTTTAGTTTAAAGATGATTGGTGGCACCACAGAAATCTGGTTGTTCTGCAGGTCCAGTATTTCCARCCCTTTTGGAAGACAATTAAAGACAGAGTCTGTCAAACCTCCAGAGGAAATGTTCATAAACCTGATGGTTGGTGGCCACAAACACTCAGACGAACCGTCGTAAACAAGAGAGTTGATGCTGAGGTCCAGCTGTTGCAGTGAAACCATGTATTTCAGACGTTTGCTCAGTAAATGAAGGTTCTTCAGATTGTTCTTTGGGAGAGACAGCTTTGTTAAGTTGCTCAGAGTCTCACATTCAATGGTCTTTTGACCCTCCAGTCTGGAAAAGATGGAGTCAGACAGAGCACAGTTGGAGAAGTCCAGCTCAAGAGTCGGACTCTGTTTCTTTGGACAAGTCATGTGTATGATTGAAGTCTCTACTACTGTAAGATGCTTTACTGGCATGTTGATAAAAAAGTTGTACACAGCTTCCTGAGAAAAGAAGAAAGACTTTACAACTGCCCGACTGACAGTAAAGGATTCCATAGTAGACGTCTCCGACACTTCGGTTTCAAAAATGGGTGGTTTGGTGATAGCGGCCTCGTTGGAGTTCATGTAGGCAATGGGTGTTCTCAAAGCGGCATTGACACATTGAGTCAAGTCTTTCCAATCAATCTGTATGTTATTGAGAGAAAGACGAGTGGAGCGAATTTCTGCGACCTCACTGAGCTGCTTTGTTAAATTATTATAGCCTCCCGTCAGATTTTTCATCTCAACGTTAGGAAAATGAGACAAAGCATCAGCAATCAGATCATTGAGCATTGTTTTTCCTTTACTGAAGTAGATATGAAGGCTTTGAGCTTGGACATCCATCAGACTGCCTGCTTCATAATCATGTTCCTGCTCCAGGGAAAGAGCCAAGCTTTGTAGTTTTACCTCAGCAAGATTCCTAAAATCACCAACATGCATGTTTTGTGCTCCAACTGTCAGATTCTCCAGTTTTATCAGGAAACTGAACTCCGCACCCATTGTCATGTTCAGAAACTTGTTCCAGGCTAAGTTTAGCACCGCAAGGTTTCCCGTGTGTAGCAGGTACTGTTGACCTGACAGGTTCTTCAGCATATTGTGTGACAGATCCAGGTGGGTTAAATGTGGCGTGTCTAGAAAGGTCTCTGCGTCGATCAGCTCCAAACCATTCCACGACACGTTCAGCACCCTAAGGAGGCTGACGTTTCTAAAGTCCTCTTTGTGAAGCCGGTGGATGTGATTGCACGAAAGGTCGAGGTATTCGGTTGTTGGTGGCAGGTCTGTCGGGACGGATGATAGGTTCATTGATGAGCGGTTTACAATGCTGTCGGGAGATGAGGCACACATTTGYAGCCCCGCCAAAAGAGCTGCAGCCAGGAAGGCAACAGACGAAAGCTTCATTGTTTTCCTGAATAAAGAAAATAAGGTTTAGATCAATTTAAACCAAACAGAAACTTACAGCATGACAACATCCTTGCAATAAATCCAACTTCTTTAAAATACAATGGTCATTTTTTAAATCTAACTGCTCAAAATAGGCTATTGGAACTAATACAGGAAAAAAAAAACATTTTGATGGGTTTATGATTGTCAGTAAAGAAACTCTGCTTATCCTGTCCAAAACTGTTTTAGCAAACACGAAACATCAGCAACTTTATTAATAAAAAACACTTCTTGTTTTAGCTGTTGTTCACAATGCTCCAGTGTTTTGCTTCATGGTAACAAGGTATTTTCAAATCAGCAAAGTTTGGATTTTACTTCTTTAAAACATAAAATAAAACAAGATCATTCACTTCTATTATCGATCAATAAAAACATTTGAATATTGAAATAATTAATCTGAACGACACACGTTACATTTACAATTCTTAAATCCGGGCAGAGAAAAGAGTTCACTAACCTGAAGTGATGTCTCATGTTTTTTTTCCAAACAGCAGATGTCTTACAAATAATAAATGGTTGGTTGAAGATCTTTGTTCATTCAAATACAGATGGAATAGTTCCAACATTAAAGAATAAAACTAAAAATGAAAATCAACCTGTCTGCTGCTCAGCTGTAAATGTACAAAGGAGCAAAGATGGGAGAAAAGAGAAATCTTCTTCCAGTTGTATTTTTGTTTAGTGTTTACTTCCTCTTTTCACTTCCGTTTTGTCCACTGAGCTGATCCCACTGCTGAAGGTAACATGTTGGTAAAAAAAAAAAAAAGTAAAAGTACAGAAGTTTGATGGGGGTAGGGTTGGTCTAAAGGTCACTTTTAGGTCTTTTTTATTACGTTTTTCCTGTTAAAACACACTTATTTGATTAGTGATTAACATTAAATCTCTGGTTCGAAACATAGAAGCATCTAGCAAAATCAGAAGTGAGAATATGCAGCTGAAACTCGGCACAGAATCTGTGGGGTGGGTAATTATTATTGTGACAATCCAAGTATTTTTCTTTGTCAATTTATTTATCTCTGTATTCCTCGAGGTGTAGAGAGTGACTGTGTTGTTTACCTTAGACCACCATACAGACTTCTTTATTGAAGGAGAGTAAAAATATTGTTTGTTTATTGATAACCAAAGGCGGACAGATGGTCTGGGACTGCCCCCACCCTCCACCCACATACACACACACAATTGTATGTCTATCGTTATTGACTTCCTTTCATAAATGTAACCATTATCAAGTCCCCCCACCAATTCACACCTTTGTCCTAACTCTAACCCCTACCCCACCAATGACATTCAGCCATATTAGGCCCAGTCTTCTGTCATCAAAAGGACTACTTGTCCTTACAAGGTAGGTGTTTATAGCAGAAAAAGTCCCAAAAAGGTTACAAAAACCAGACACACACACACACACACACACACACACACACACACACACACACACANACACACACACACACTTCCCAGTATTGTTTTTAGCTTTGCCTTGGGTCACCGAGTGGGACACAAACAGAGATGGGAGCTAAATTTAATAAGGTCATATAACCACCTGGTGTTTGTTCTCACCTATGATCAGATTCTGAGAGAACACTGCAAATGTTGTTAGCACCTTCCCAGCATAAAAAAGAAAGAAAGAAAAAACCTATTTGCTGTCATCTAATGTGAAAAACAAAATTTGCCTGCTGCAGAAGCTAAAGGTGGAGTGCTAATGTCTGTGTGTTTGTCTGTGTCTTATGAACCAACTGTTCAACAATTCAACCAACCATTTTATTAAAACTTTCAGAAAGGTATCACTCGATTTAAATAGACAACTGATTACCTTTCGGAATCAAATTCAAATCGACTGCCACAACAAAGTTTAGAAAACACAAAAATGACTAAAAATCAGTTCATTTTATAGATAATCTGATCAAATTTGGTCTGGTAGTAGTTGAGCCTGATCCCCAGCTTGGACTCTGAGTGCTAACTGACCCAACTAGATCTGCATTTAAAACAGTTTCATTAACTATTGAAAACAAATTTGTCTACTACAGCCAACTGATTTAAAAAAATGATTTAACTCCACCAGATATTGAGCTAAAATTTGTTGTGGTAGTAGCTAGTCGTCCAAATCACATAATCCAAGCACTAATGCTATTTCAAGGTTTGACCAAAACAACTATTTCTCAACATAAGATGATTTTGTCTAAAACATAAAAGGGGATGGATGACATGCTTTACTTCAAGGAATGAAATAGGCTTTTAATATAACCTGGTTTTATTTTATATTTCAGAAAATTGACATCTCTCAAATAAAATGTGGCCTATGGCTTTTATTATGAAGAGTCTACRGTGTGTACTTCTTAGTTATGAAGCTGAGATCAGAGTGCAAGCTAATTATTGACCCAAAGACTTTCTTTACTGTCAGTTCTGTGACCGTGTTCGTGCTCGCTGCTGAAAGTAACTCATGTTGTAGCAGAACTCTTGTGACCCTTGACACAGCTTTTCATTTTTAGAGACGTATTCAATCAAAAAATGAGGTAATTTTTGAAGTGAAAACCACTTGACATGTTTGGTACAGTAATATGAGCACACACAGATATGAACCAACCTTTGTGACCGTGTAGTGGGGAGGGGCTGAGTGGTAGCAGACGTACACACAAGGGAGGGAAAGGGAAAAGAATCAGCCAGTTTGTCAATGGATACTGCAGCTCCTGAAGGCGTCCTCGCTGCCTCTCGTTCGTCCTCCCCTCCTGGTCATAATGGAGCTCCTGTCAACTGGAAAAGGATTTATTAGGTTGAAAAGGAGCGGCTGACTGATACCTGCAATCACCTACAAGTAGATTTCTGTGGCAGCGTGGACTCCTCCATCATGCTGAAACACCCTCCTCATCCCATTCTCCTCTGGTTATCCCTCCTGTTGCCGGTGCTCCTTTGGAATGGGGCGGCCTGTTCTCCTGGGGAGGGCATCAGCATCTGGCAACACCTTAAACCGAGTCCCTTCATCAAAAACCAGTCTTTCCTTCATGATGACTTCCCCTCAGGATTCCTCTGGGGCTCGGGAACCTCTGCTTTCCAAACGGAAGGAGCTTGGAATCAGGATGGGAAAGGTGTCTCCATTTGGGACCACTTCACCCACTCCTCTGTCAGGAGTCAGCTCACTGGCGTGAACGCAGACGTGGCAAGTGACAGCTACAACCACTGGGAGGAAGATGTAGAAGCACTGGAATATTTGGGCGTAGGATCGTACTCATTTTCTCTCTCCTGGCCTAGACTTTTCCCTGACGGCGATGCCACAGGGGAACCCAACGCAGCAGCCGTGGAGCACTACAGCCGCCTCATAGAGAGGCTCCTGGAAAAGAAAATCCAGCCCCAAGTCACGCTTTATCACTGGGATCTGCCTCAGGTGCTCCAGGAGAAATACGGCGGCTGGAAGAACGACGCGTTGGTGGGACTTTTCAAAGAGTACGCAGCTTTTTGTTTCCAGACATTTGGGGGTCGGGTTAAATACTGGCTCACAATGCACAATCCATACCTGGTGGCAATGCAGGGGTACGGGACAGGTGTCCACGCTCCTGGAGAAACAGGGGGACTCTCTAACGCTCTAATTATTGCCCACAACTTGATCAAGGTAAGTCACAGGTTTGATTTTAGTGTTGTCCTGGTTTGAATGACAAAAAAAAAAACAAAAAAACAAAAAAAAAAACAATGTTTCAAAGTGTTTCAAATTTTCTCATACAAGAATATTTTTTACCTTGATTGTGCAATAAAAATGACCGTAATCACCACAGTGTCCACTTTTCCCACTCTTTTTTCAACTTCCATAAACTGAAAAGGGGAACACAGATAATTACCCTATCTGTACTGTTTACACACTGTCACTGATGAAAATACAATTACTTTAATTGCTTAGATAACAAACAGAAAGTACACAACCCATAGACACACAACAAAATATCTGTTTTGCATTAAGAAAAAATAAAAAAATATTTTGTCTTAGCAAAAACCTCTTAAAAATGAACATACAACTTAGATTAATTTAGGGATTTTTGCTGTTGTATGAGGTGGTTTTTCATTTTCATTTGATGCATTTGAAAATTAATGAAAAAAAAATCTACATCCAGTAAACATGCAGAAAGCTAAACTGCAGCCTTGCAATTCCACTTCCAATAAATTCAGGCAATTTAATACAAGACAGTGAAGTATGGGTGCAGAGGGTGCTGCAGACTTCAATAAAAATAATAACTACGCATTTATTTATTGGCATAATGTTTAAGCTCCAAAAATATTTGATTATAGAGTTTTGTAAATTAGGTTTATAAACCATTACTGTTGTATATTTATGATCACTATTTTGTATGTACAGCATATTTCTATATGAATTTAACTGCATTATGATGTTCTTCATGAGTGTTGGGCCCTTACAATGCTCACAGCACCTCCCTGACCGAAACACGTAGTTATAATGATGTGTGTGTGTGTGTGTGTGTGTGTGTGTGTGTGTGTGTGTGTGTGTGTGTGTGTGTGTGTGTGTGT